GTAGGTCGTAGGTCGTAGGTCGTAGGTCGTAGGTCGTAGGTCGTAGGTCGTAGTAGGTAGTAGGTAGTAGGTAGTAGGTAGTAGGTAGTAGGTAGTAGGTAGTAGTAGAAGTAGTAGTAGAAGTAGTAGTAGTAGTAGTAGTCACAACAAGTTTAAACAAGCACAAAGAAAAGGCCAGGGACACAGGATCAAATTAATAGGGGTAGTAGTGCAGATTATTGATGGGGGACCGGCCCTTGTGAGGGGTACCCTTTGTGAGCTTGTCAAATGATTGTTTTTAATTGTTTTTTAATAAGGCAATTTATAGGCCCTGAGCCCTAGACATTTTTAAGGATTTCATCAAACATGTAGTAGGTAGTAGGTGGCGATGGTCGTGGTGGTGGTGTTGGTCGTGGTAGTAGCAGTAGCAGTAGCAGTAGCAGTAGCAGTAGCAGGAGCAGGAGCAGCAGCAGCAGCAGCAGCAGCAGCAATAGCTAGTAGCAGTAGCAGTAGCAGGAGCAGCAGCAGCAGCAGCAGGAGTAGTAGCAGCAGCAGCAGCAGGAGTAGTAGTAGTAGTAGTAGTAGTAATACGAAAAATTGACCTGGTTGTGGGCTCGGATTAACTGGCGGGGTTGTTGGTAGAAAATTAAACAATAGGGGGGGAAATCAACAGCGAATAATACTTTTATTTTTGGCCAATTTCCGGCGGCTTTGTGGGCTCGGATTGACTAGGGGAGGTTTATTAATCCTAACTTTCCATTAATTGGCTCAAGTTCTGAGAATGGCACCCTCTCCACTTCAAGGATATTCTGGTTCCACTTGTGATTTTGGCTCTTAATATAGATATATACACACTCCCTGGAACAATCAGTGAAGTGTATTCCATGGCCCCTTGCATTACAATTTTCTTCTACAAACAGGTGGTTTTCCACTTCCATGCAGTATGATTCCAGGGAGTGTATATACTTATTATGTATATATATATATATATCATAGTTCACCGCCCCCAAAAGGAATTCCTCAAACAGCTTTTACCATGTAGAATACCCTGCATCTAAGATGGGCCAGTTATATAGGCAAATTTATAGCCAGGCCCCGTCGTTCTCATTGTGATACATCACCATACCACCGATGTGTCGTTCTCCCATACCACCGATGTGTCACCTTGAAGAATCGGAAGTCGCCAAGAATCGGATCGTTCCAGGTACAAGCAAACGCATTTTGCCCCTTGGAACAGTCACCTTGGACCGCCGGTGAAACCGAACAAATGGCCTGACTGACCTTGGGGGACTGACTGACCTCTCTTCGTGCAGGTGCCTGTTTTGCACCTGTTGGGTTTGAGTGGGTGTCCCCCAAAAAAGATTACAGGTTATCCACTGACTGGGCTGGAGGATAACAACCTCAAAATACTAATAACTCGCCTTCAGTGATTTAAGTGGTGAGCAACTCTGACCAAAGCTTAAAACAATTCTGTCACTGCGCAGCAAACCAAAGAACTTTCTGAAAGGCAGCTGGGAAGACAATTCTTGCCCACAAAAAAGACAGTGGCACAAGACCCTACATGACGTGGAGACCTTGATCAAGCATATAGAAGTTATGGAAGATATGATCATCCCAGTCCCAGGCTGCCCAAGAAGAGCTTGAATCGAATTCAGCACGATCTTCAGTCTGACTGGCGTCGGCCACGTGCACAGCCAAGTCACAGGCTTGGCCTTGCGGAACACAGATCTCCTGTCGCGGGGAGTGAGTACGTCCACTGTCCACGGCGCCGTGAAAGAACACGTGCGTGACTCGGCTGTGAAAGAGACTCGGTCCTGTACGGAGAAAAGACTTTGTTGCACCTATATTCACCTACCAAACGCACTTCCAACGGGTGCCCTGTCTGGAGACCCATTGGATGATCCTGGTATTATATACATTGAGCCCTTTTCCATCCCCATGTAGGGTGAATCTGACTTCCGGAGTGTTTGGATCTGTTTGGTCCAGACGACGCCCCCCTTGAGTTCATGGAGTCAGTGAGGATTTTCATGTCAGTAGTTGTTGAGGACCATTCACCGTTATGACAGAGGCAAAATACATGCACACTAGGCGAGTTTCGAGTGCACATGTACAACAAATCCATATCAGGTTCACCCAGAACATTATTTGATGGCCCATCAGGCTACAAAAATGTAAACCAAGCAGTCCACCACAAAGCAGTCCACCACCACGGTGACATTTTGTTACACAGCAACAAAACACATCACAGAAGAGGCGAATCACTTACCACTTACATCCACCGACCCCACCGACCACGACTAAAAAAAACACAAACTAAACTTCCAACGAAGACGAACTCGCAGGGTCTTTTGAGAGGTCTAGGTCCATACGGTGAGTGGTTATTGTCAGTTTGATGAATAAAATAACCGTCTCCAGAATGAGTTTACTTATGTTACATCTCCAGGCTTGAAAAAACACAAACATCCTCGAGTTCAAAACTGAGGTGCTTGCATGCATCTAGCCCAAGGACCTCTGATATATATATACTGCGAGGGGACATGCTTTGGAAGCTGGAAATTAATAGTTTTCGTG